ACATGTTAAATACTTTGCAAAATATTTTGAAGCTTTGGAGCACATGTTAAATACTTTGCAAAATATTTTGAAGCTTTGGAGCACATGTTAAATACTTTGCAAAATATTTTGAAGCTTTGGAGCACATGTTAAATACTTTGCAAAATATTTTGAAGCTTTGGAGCACATGTTAAATACTTTGCAAAATATTTTGAAGCTTTGGAGCACATGTTAAATACTTTGCAAAATATTTTGAAGCTTTGGAGCACATGTTAAATACTTTGCAAAATATTTTGAAGCTTGTATAAAATTTATGACTGTGTAAGATGACAGTATTAAGTTTGAATCAAGGTGAGTTCCTGACTGTGTAACATTATTACATGACAGGAGAAAGAGGATGAAGTTGATGCTGGTCCACCCAAGAAGAAAATCAAACTGGAGTCCAAGCTGGATAAACGAGTACAGGTGAACTAAATTGTATTTTGTATTTAGGCCACAGCAAGTAAATTTTATGGATGACATCCTCCACAGATTCCAAATCTAATGTGAGCGGGCGAAAAAAAAACAAGGCGGGCCGAAAAAAACAAGGTTCTTACATTTTGAAATTTTGACTCAATCATTGTACAAATGGTTTTGATTCAATGGGAACATCACATATACACAGCCAACATCACATATCACTGCATCAAAGTAAGAAACAAAACATAAAATCAGAGCCTTTTCTTGTCTCCTCTCTTTATACATGTAGTTATCTGCCATCCACCTTCCGGCATGGCAACAGACATCTTGGCCTATTTTCGGCATGGTGACCACTGTCAGAAGGCAACAAAATTTCTTGTTTTTTTTTTCCAAAATCAGGCAAAAATTAATTTGCGCACGAATGTCATCCATAAAAATTACTTGCTGTGGCCTTAATAACCTTTAATTTCATTCATGTTCACTAAGGTCACACTAATTTAATGTGTTGGTTCTATGATTTTTGTAGAAAATATGAAGCGACAGAGCAAAAGACAGACATACAAACATGTATAGAATTGTATGATAGCCCCAAATGCTTCTGTAGGAGCCATGAAGTCAACATACCAGGGTGCTTTGTAGTTCAAACAATGAAGTTTAAACTTTAATCAAACCACTGTATCAATTGATGTAAAAACTAGAAAGACAACAACTTTTGCTCACCTTTTGGGACCAAAATGTGAGCATTTTGTAGCTGATTTCGAGGCTGATTTTTTTTCAAATCAATAATGTGTATTTTTTCAACTTCTGTTAACAGTAACTGCTTGGAACACTGCACTTTAGAAACAGTCCTTCTTATTTTTCAGAGCCTTATTGAACTCATCTGCAATATACAAACTATGGAGGATGCTGTGAAAGAGATGAAGTATGACACCAAGAAAGCACCACTGGGTATGGACTATCACTGTGTTAGAAATCCTTTTAGGAAAATGTTATGATAGTGAAGTGCATGCAATGTTGTACACTACCTATAAGACTTTGTTTGCATCTTATAGCACTGTTATGTGACAGGGCGCCACACCAATTTAGCTGTAACTTCAGCAGTAGAACAAGGAGAAGTCGTAGACATCACCCCTCCATGAAATAGCTTGTTATTTTGTAATCTTTTGGTGTATTTCAATAGAGATATTATGAGTCAAACTGTTATAGAGTTTGCGAATATACTACTGGGGATGGTACCCAGGCTACATTTGCCTGTACATGTAGGTCAATGACCAGACAAATGACCTGCAGACCAGACAAACAAGATTTATTTTCCTGCAGACTCTATAGGGGTAAAAATAGATAGGGCTGCCTGGGTCTGACCTGCCAGCTGGAGGTATAAACAAAAACACTCTGTCCCAACTTTTGGGTCAAACAGACCATCCTATTATGAAGTAGGGGTGAAAAAGTGAAAATCCTTTTAAATCAAGCAATAAAAATATGCGACAACCTGCTAATGCACTCCAAAACACAAAGAGACTCAACAACTACCCACATACCAAAAATCATACCAAACCATCCCCTAGATTTTCCAAACATTCAACACAAAAAGTCCAACATTAAACATTTTGTAAATATCAAACGCAAACAGCTAGGGGACCCAAATTTAAACCACTAAACCATGGTAATAACAACTACATGCTACCTTAATATCGCACAAACAGTCCATAACGCGAAAACAACAGAATAAAAAAATTAAACTGCAGTACCAAGGTCAATCACCAGGGGCTCAAAGTCAACCTACACAATCTCCAAGGCCCCATCCATCAATCTGCCAAATATCGTACAGTTCCTTCTCACCGATCTTCAGATATCAGACCAAACATGAAACGGAGTAAAAACAGTACCCCCATTTTCATGGAGGGTAATGACATATTGGCATTGATGATAAACTGGACAGTGAGTGAGTGTGTTGTATAATATAATACTGGACTGATGATGACCACATTATAGGCATGTCCAGACCTAAGTTTCTTCCAAAATTTGGACAGTACTGTAAATAGTACCTGTAAATTTGTGAACTGGAGTTTTTATGTTTTAAATTGTGAAAAAAAGAGTTGCAACATTTCAATGTCATAATGATTGTATATTTATATTGTATTTTATGTATATTTCCAGGCAAACTGACGAAACAACAGATCAAACTTGGCTACAAGGCCCTGAAACAGATTGAGTCCTGTCTGAATGGGAAAACAGCAGGTAGCAAACTGTTACAGGCCTGCAACGACTTCTACACACGCATACCACATGACTTTGGGTAGGAAAGATACATGTTTGAGCTTTTAATGACATGGAAACTTGAAAATATTATGTAACAGTGGGGTTCAAGCACCACAAACTGGCCAGTTTAACAGTTACTGGTTCAGAAATTTTAGCCTTGCAGTGAGTTAGTGCATTATGTTTGGCTGGTGGCCCAGGTTCAAATCCTGGGAGAATGAATGAATGAATGAATGAATGAATGAATGAATGAATGAATGAATGAATGAATGAATGAATGAATGAATGAATGAATGAATGAATGAATGAATGAATGAATGAATGAATGAATGAATGAATGAATGAATGAATGACTATTCTAGTCATTACACAATGAAAAATGTTGACATAAAAAAATATTTTGCAGCTTATGGTGGGGCTATACATGTACATGTGTATAATTTTACTATTTCAGCCAGACTAGTAGCAACTTTTAAGACTCTATACCTCGACTGAAGGTACTCTCCAAAAAAGTTAGAAATGACTTGTTCTCATTTGTAGAATTATGCCTTGGTCTTTGTGTGTCAATGTACTTACTTCCCATTATGTACACGTCGACTGTTAAACATTCATATGGAATTTATGTGTCATTTTCTACCCAGAATGAGACAGCCTCCTGTTATCCGCACCCATGAAGAACTGAAAGCCAAGCTCAAACTGCTAGAAGTGAGTACATGTTACTAAGATATGCCATACTGTAGACGCTATTCAAGAATAGAGGTTTTAATGTATTAAGTTGAATCAACCCAGCCTATCCATAGCATACCGATATCATAGCAGTGAGGCATAGCACATCGGCAGAACGTACTGCGCCTGCGCAGAACCCTGTATTTTTTGGTCAAAGTTGCATCAGAATTTTGCCTGTTGCAAAGGATATCTTTTCCTTCATAACATTTGAAAACAACAGACGGGATGTTAACCTTATATGCGCTAGTACGACCTTATATGAGACGCTCTGTCGAAGTGCTATGTACAATACATTACGGGTTTCACGCAGGTGCAGTGCGTTCTGCCGACATGCTGTGAGGCATAAATGCAATGTCGCTGCCTGAAAACAGTTGATTATTTTGTACCGTAGGCTGGTCCTAGCAATTTATTAGTGCAGGGCTCGAAATTGAAGGTGGGCCAATGGCCACTGACCACTAAAATTTAGGCTGGGACAACTAAAAAGACACTTTGGGACATTTTGGGGGACAATAGAAAAATAATCAACATCAGAATGCCAGACCGTCTTTTGTTTATCAGGTACACGCCATGGCTTTTGGATCCGGAAAAATCCTCCCAAATTTCTGTCTACATGTACTACTACTCTACTGCAATTATAGTGCAGCTGGGAGTGAACATATTAAGCAAAAAAAAGTTGACTTCCAATACTTCCCGAAAAACAGATTGGGGCAGTTCATCCTCACTTCCAAACAGTTTAAATTTATTTTTTGGACAGTGCTGGGACAATAAAAAGAAAAGTTGATTTCGAGGCCTGTTAGTGGATTAAAAAATTAAGGGACTCCTTGCGAAGCTTGTATTTGGGCTATTTTAAATACTTCAAGTATGAAATGATGACGAAAATGCGCTAAGAAATGACAGTAAATGTCAGACAGGTGCCATCTCAAATATTTTTCCTATTGCATTGGATGCCTTTAACCATGATAGCTGTTCCTATCTAGGCCCTGGATGACATTGAAGTTGCCATGACCTTGCTGAAAGAGAAGACAGATTCACACCAGCACCCTGTTGACAAACAGTACCAGGCCCTGAAGTGTCAGCTGGAGCCTATGGAACACACTCATCCTCACTACAAGGTTAGATGGTTAATTTTATACATGTACATACATGTACAGTTTGGTATCTTTCTGTCTCTTTTCTTCTTACTATTCACAAAATGCATTCAAAGAAAAATGTTGCAAGAACTATTGCTGTGGTTTGATGAAGGAGAATAAACTGCTTTTGCATGTACATATCAATGGTTTATTTGCATTAAAACACAACAACACTGTCCCAAAAATGGCAGCCAGAGGCTGAATTGACATTGGGGCATCACATTATTAGTATAAAACGTCATATTAAGCGATTAAAATAGAAATAAACCATTACATAAAATGTATATAAAATATTGTCAACAACGTTTCAAGTGCAAATTAATATCATAGCAGATAACAAACACAGACGGACACTGGTAACACTAAAATAAGTCTTAGGTTAAAAAAAAGTGACAGTGTTACATATACATGTACAATGTCAACTGGATAGAGTGCATATCCAAAGAAAGACCAACTGATAACCTTCCACCAATTAAGGTAACATATGATGCCAACTTTTTACCAGTTACACTGTTAAGCCCCTGTCACAGATAGCTGAATATGGCCTTCTAAACACTGGAGTAGGTTGCAACTGTACATGTACAGTAGCCAATCTAGCTGGTCGAACACAAACTGCACCTTTAAAAATGTATAAAACATTTGGATGTGGACTGGAAGTTTGGCCATGGTTGGCTGGTGTTCTGAAAAACGGTAGGTCGTGCTGTGGTTGGCAGTGAAATTTTACTCAAATTTAACTCAAGTTTGAGTTGATTAGACCTAAAAATGTAGCTGTGACCTAAGTCTGGTCAGACATGCCTCCAAACTTTAGCCAAGCTTGGTTGGTCGGTGTTCGGCAGAAGGTTCTGAATGTGTGACGGGCTCAAAGGTACATTGTAGCAGGGGGAGGTTGACGTTTGTATTCAACCGTTGGAGTTGTGCTTTGTTTTATTGTCAAGATGTCCTCCAGCCTAACTAAGTTGAATCATATTATATTCTTCCCAGATTGTGGAGCAGTACTTACAGAATACGCATGCTAAAACACACGGACACTACACCATGGCAGTACAGGATATCTTTGCTGTGCAGAGGGCAGGAGAATCAGAGAGCTTCAATGATGTTGGCAATAGGTAATACATGCTTTTTTATTTAGAGTTATATATGGTGGTATCTGTATCTTTATCTGTATATGAATCTGTATCTGTACATGAATCTGTATCTGTACATGAATCTGTAGATTCTGTACATGTATCTGTACATGAATCTGTATCTGTACATGAATCTGTATCAGATTCTGTACATGAATCTGTATCTGTACATGAATCTGTATCAGTACATGAATCTGTATCTGTACATGAATCTGTATCAGTACATGAATCTGTATCTGTACATGAATCTGTATCAGATTCTGTACATGAATCTGTATCTGTACATGAATCTGTATCTGTGCATGAATCTGTATCATTCTGTACATGAATCTGTATCTGTACATGAATCTGTATCTGTACATGAATCTGTACATGAATCTGTATCAGTACATGAATCTGTATCTGACTGCAAATAAAGATATTGAGTGATTGCCATAGATAGAGAGATACACATGTACATGGTGGTGACAGAAAGCTGAACCTCAAAAGCGATGCTGCTTTCAAATAAGTTATAAAGTTTGAAGAGTTTCATCAGGTTGGTAAATGGCTGAGCACTGTCGGACATTTGGTAAGTGGAAAGACCAGCACCTATAGTATTTCAAACCCTGTCAAATAGGAAACTGTCAACGTTGGTAGTTATATCCACTGCTGAATGTACATTCAACAGTTACTGTAGTCTATTGTTGCTAACTTGCTATAATGCTGATGAACCTTTAGTTTGTTTCCCATTATTTTCCTACAGAATGTTGCTGTGGCATGGGTCAAGACTGACCAACTGGATGGGCATCCTGAGCCAGGGTCTGCGAATAGCCCCACCTGAAGCACCTGTTACAGGGTACATGGTATGTGCTCCGGAACATTAATTGTGGAAAAACATATGTAGTTGAGCTAGTCTTTCATCACATAAGGCCTTGGAAAATTCATGTTGTGTTTCCAGTTTCAATCCTAAAAAGACTAGGGTCTGTCAGTTTCTGTATCAGTATAGCCGGTATAACCGCCCTTCGGCGTTACACACCAGCTTCGCAGGCACACTGTGCGGCAGCAGCTGGCTACATTACACAGATCGACTTGTTACACCTAACCCTTGAACATCCAACTCTAAACATTGTTTAAAGCTATCTAATGATATTGCCCCTACTGTACTTGGTGACAGCAACAGTAGGTTTTTTTTTAAGTATTTTTTAAAAATATTTTGCCTACTATGAGCCAGCATATAAAGTTTAAAAAATGCATTGGGACTGTCTCAAGGACCCACCCACCTGTTTACTTGTGAAAAAGTATTTCATCTGATTTACTGAAGAAAAAATTGCTTCTGAAAAAGAGTTAGGTGGCATTACCAAAATTCAGAGGGTTTAAAATTCAGATGACATACCGAAAATTTTATTGCCTTACCACTTTACCAGTGATCAATCCAAAAAAAGGCTAGTGTTGACAGGATTTTGCAAGGGTCCATCAGGAAACTGGTAACGCAACATTTTTTCTTAGGCATAATGAATGAGGATACATAATGCTACACTACTACATGTAGACCCATGTGCTTAATACATCCAAGACTCATATTAGGTCTTACACTACAGCTCCACTCTGGGTGTCATGTCACAGTTCTACACTTGTTAAGTTTCAATGCAGTCCTTGTGATATCCTTTCAGTTTGGCAAAGGAGTCTACTTTGCAGACATGTCGTCCAAGAGTGCAAACTACTGTTACCCAACAACAAAGAACCACACTGGCCTTGTGCTGCTGTCTGAGGTACGTCTTCATTAACTAACTTTTACAGTTGTTACTGTAACAGTGTTCTAGCCAGCTGTGAGCTTGAAATTTTTTTCTGTCATCTTAATTTTGTTTGACATAACATCTTGTAGTAAAGAGCACCAATTCTATTGGTGCCCGGAAAAGTTTGAAATCTTGATATCTAGCAGTGCAGACCAGGGTTCTATTTGGTTATCATACATGCTTCCAAATGTTCCATAGAATAATTAAGAAATTCGAATACCAGATTTGCAGATTGGAATTGGTATTGTGGTGTTTAGGAAGGCTTTCTCAGGTGGGTATGACATACATAAAATATAACACGGTGTATTCGGCCGCCGGGCAATCCGACTCACCGTAGGGCTGGTTAATGTACATGTACGTCTGGTGATACAGAATAAACTGTGTTGTATTCTAAATGTATATTCACTGCATGATTGTGTACATTGTATTATAATATCTATATTCCCCCTTATAAAACAGGTGGCCTTGGGAAACACCAACGACCTTCTAGCTGCTGACTACCAGGCAGACAAGCTGCCGACAGGCAAACACAGTGTGTGGGGCAAGGGGAAGATGGCCCCACATCCTGACAGTAACCATGTCATGTAAGTATGTCTGCATGCTATAGTAGCAGTTACTGTTACTAGTAGTAGTAGTAGTAATGGTTTATTATAATATCACTACATGATTGTGACTATATCACGTCAGTTTCATCCTAAAGGCTGAATTGATGAAGTTAGTAATATAACATAATTAGACTAAATAAAATGCAATATTTGCCCAAATTAAAAGCAAAAGAATGAAGATCAGTGTAACAGTGCTAACTGACCATGCTAAATGGTCGTGCGACCTTTTAGTGTAGTGGTTAGCGTTGGTGACCGCCAAGCGGACAACTCGGGTTCGATTCCCGGTTGTGACCTGCTCGCCCTTCGTTTTC